GTGTTGCGGGGGGGGGGTGGGAGGGCGTGCGAACGCCGCCACTGAAGCCTTCAATGGAATCCCCTACGGGGCCACGAAACGCTGTGCTGGTTGGTCCATTCTTGTAGCCGTTGCGCTTTTCCCCGAGCAGTACTTGCACTTGGGCGCCTTTACTTGCGCTTGCGTTCTGAGGCAACTGGGCCCCGATGTCGGTCCGGCCGGGTCGTCGCCGCCCGTCGCCAATGTCGCCGCTGGGTCCCAGTGGCGGTCCGGCCGGCTCGTCGCCGGCCGTCGCCGCCGCCCGTGCAATGCGATTGCAATCGCAGAATTGCTTTGTATTGCTTGGCATTGCGTTGCATTGCGTTGCACTGCTTTGCACCGCGTTGCATCGCTTTGCATCACTTTGCATGACGTTGCGTTGCATTGCTTTGCATCGATTTACATCGCTTTGCTTTGCATTGCGATGCATTGCATTGCATTGCATTGCACTGTGTTGCGTTGATTTGCGTTGCTTTGCATTGATTTGCATTGTTTTGCGTTGCTTTGCATTGCTTTGCATTGCGATGCATCGCGTGGCATTGCGTTCAATGTCTTTTCATTGCTTTGCAATTCTTACACCACCTAGATTGTATCACTATTGTATTGCACATGCTGCAAGAATCGCTGTTTGGGGCCCACGCTGGCTAACATCTAGAGCGAACGTGCACGGCACTAAGGCGAGAGCTCCATTGTGAACATCACCCACCCTCCATCTTTGCAGCGGCTGGGAACTTCAAACTTCAATCTCACAATTTGAAAGAAGGTGTCAGGCGATACGCCTGGCCCTCCCTACCGACACGTTCAGAGGTCAGACGAGGATTAGCGATCGAAGTACAAGGAAAGTAGTTGAAGGGCCCAGGAGACGGAGTGGGGAGCAGGGCGGGGCTGGGAGGGGCGGCGAAGGGGGACGCTGCGGAGAGGGAAACATTGTGGACTGAGATGAGTGCACCCAGGACGGAGGCGTTAGGAGGAATGGAAGGGAAATGGGGGAGAGGAACGGGGAGATGGGAGGAGGATGCGAGATGGGAATTGATATGATGGGGGGTACCTCGTACGGGAGGGGATGGATGACACGTCAGCGAGGATGGAGGGAATGGTCCCCCGATCCAGACCAGGGAAACCTCCCGTTTTCATCCCTCCCTCCCTACCTCTCTCCATGGATTAGCGATCCATGGATTTGGCGCGCGGTCGCCAACTCCATGGATCGGGGGAGGTGCCCTCCCCCAAAATGCGGCCAGTGCCGCCTCGCTCGGCGGCGGAAATCCGCGATTTATCCTGAAAACGGGACCCGTCGCTAATCCACGCCCACTGAATCCATGTTTGCGATCGCCTGACAGTATGCATCGTCCACTTCCTCCAAGCCATGTCGCGACGAGGCCCGAAGGGTCGAGCCACCTCCCCGAGCACGGGACCGTGCATCGCGCGGGAATGAAGGACTTCTCGATGCCGGCGGGGTCGCTAGAGCCCTCGTTTTGTCAGAGCCTCGAATTATCAGGGGTAACTCGGGTCAGGGCTAACTCGGGTTCGTTTTTCGGGAATCCGAGCCCGAGCTAACCTGGGCCCGAGTTACCCTGGATAGTTCGGGCGTCCAGAGCCCCAAATCATCAGGGGTAATTCGGGTCAGGGCTAACTCGGGTTCGTTTTTCCGGAATCCAAACCCGATGCACCCCGGATAACTCGGGCGCCCAACGTTGCTGTTGCAATCGAAAACCCTGTACTCGCGGCACTCGAAGAGGTGCAGAACCGCGAGGCGTTCCCCCTCGGGCGCGTACGGCCGCGACCCAGGGGGGACCCGACGCACGCAAAGCCGATGACGGCCTTGGCGTCCGAGAAATAGGACACCTCTCGCTTTCCTCACTGGTTGCCTGCCACCCGCGCATTGCAAAGCGTAGTGGATAGCTTTGGTCAGGTCGACAATGTCCTCTGCGCACAACTGGCTGGCCCTCGATTGGTGCTTGGCCATGCGCCGCGCGCCGCTAAGGCCGCCGCGCGTGCCGCTGGGCTGCCACCGCACGCATCGCCTCGGCCGCCGGTACCAGGCCAAGCTTCTGCTCCGAGGAACAGAGGGAGCGGACCTCTGCAGCCCGCGTGGCCACGGACCGCAGCAGCCCACATGCCCGCAAGCGAGTAGTGCGCCATGTCGTCGTCGCTTCTGCGCGGCCGGCGCGCATCCCCTGAACTGCACGTCGGCCTCCAGAGACCGACGCTTGGCACGCCTGGCCAGCGCGCCCAGCGCACATCTGGCAAAACCTAACGTGCGCAATCCAGGGAGGCCACGGGATGGCGAGCGCTGCCCGTCTGGAGCTACGGGTGCCACCTGCGTGTCTTTGAGTGGGTGGAAGCAAGTAGGCGTCGTGGCATGGACATGCGTACGGGCGGCCCCCATCAACGTCCTTCCCCTGCATCCGTCTGCCAATCGGCCACGCGCGGAGCCAGGTCTTGATCGCTGCCGTGCCGATGCTCGAGGGGCGTGGCCGAGCGCGTCCTGCATCCGCCGTCTTCGCTAGCTCCGCCACCCGGGGGAACGACTTCGTCACGCGCTGCACACGTGCGACTGTGATGGCACCATCAGAGGGCGACGCTACAAGGCACTTGTGAGTTTCCTTTGAGATCCTTTGTGCAGGGGTTGCGTGAGCTCAGCGGCACGGGCAACAAACGTGGTCGTGTGCGCCTTCATCTGCGCATGGTTCGGGAAGTCCTCCTTGGCTTCGCGAGGGAAGGAAACGAAAGGAGGAACCATCAAGAAGGACGAACTCCTCGCCACCCTCGCGGACCCCGCGGTGGGCAGGTACTTCGCGGTCGTGCTGTCGTGCAGCGGCCGCTCGAGGCCATGAACATCGGCAATCGTCACGCACGCGGTGCGCATGAGGGCTGCTGCCGACAACGCCAAAACACTGGGTAACCCAGGGCCTCCCCATGCCTCCGTGAGGTGGCGCTCGGAGTATGGTAGGTCGCGCGGAGATGCCGATCTCTGCCACCTTGGCCTCCCCGCTAAGCATGACGACCTGCGCCACGAAGGACAGGCAGCACGGGGCAGGCGCGCTTGCGGTGGAGCTGGCCCTTGACGAAGCCGCCCCCCAGCACCCCTCGCGATGGCCATCAACCGCTCCTGGCACTTGATGAGCGAGGGGCCGTTCAGTGGAGCCTCGCGTCGCTTCGGGGCCGATGTGGAGGCCCTGGTGCAAGCAGTAGGAAGCAACCTGGAAGCTCTTCGTTCTGCCAGATAGGCTCGAACTGGGCAGGGATGGCTTTCACCTCCTCGATGGTCTGCTCGTTGATCCCACCGTCAAGGGGAATGGCTGCACACTTCGTGGGTTTCGGCTGGAGGCTGGCGCATCGCCCGGTCAAGGAGCAGATCCTCCCATGACCTTGCGCGCCTCGTGTATATGTTGCACCGCGTCGGGCGGCGTCGATGCCAAGCCACATGCCCCACGTGAGCGGCGCGCTCAGGGGCACAAGTAAGTCCCCGCTGAGCGGGCAGCCCTGCAGGAGATCGTTGATGATCCAGAAGCGAAACAACATGGCGGTGCCCATCGTGATGACCTCTGCAGGTAAATAATGACAGGGGACATACGCACACATGATATACGACATTATTGCGCGAAGCGTCCAGTCGAGACCGTACCTGATCATTTCCCCAGTCAACCTTGTCCTCGCACCTGCCATCCCTATTCGGAGCCCATGCGCCAGTCTTTCATCTGGGTGAAGCGCCTGCTAAGCTGGCAGTGTCCCCCAGGCTGCCTGGCACGAGGACTTGCCCCTGAACTGCCCCTTGTCCACAACATCCTTAGTCCTAAGTGCTCGCTGCGGTCGGGAACTGTTGGATAGTATGTCGCGGCGGCGGCCCTGGCGACACACTATGCCCGCAGAGCGGAGCGACACGCGTGTCGCTTCGCTCCGCGGGGCAGGAGGCTCGGAAAAGCTCGTGACGTTGCCTCATGGGGAGCCCGCAAGTGGATAGCGCGTCGTCACGAAAAGTGGTGGGCCAGAACCAGCGGCGGAACACGCTAAGCCCCAATTCCTGACCATACATATTTATATATATATATATATATACATATGTGTGTGTGTCAACATGCCGGCCAGGATGCTGTAATCACAATGGACACCTGATTCGTGAGACCAGGCGAGCGTGGAGAATGTATCCAGCCCGCGCGCAAAAATACAGGACATTGGAAAACGGGGAGGCTGGGGACGAGCAGGACTAATCTGAATTATGGACTGCGAGGCTATCCGAAAAAGGCATGGCTGGAAAATGGCGATCAGCGTGCAGCATGCCCAAACCGAGGGGCTCCTCTTGGGATGAAGAAGCGTACCCACCGCCACCAACCCTCCACATACCAATCTTTTGGCGGCATCCGCGTGAATACGGCCTCATGGCTTGGTGTGGAGCCGATATCCACCGAGACAACAGCCCACATTGGGCTGTGCAGGCCCGGCGGTGGATGCTTCGCCTGTCCCGAACATGCGCAGGCGTGCACGCTGCCAGACTGACTAATTGCCAAGGGCTGAACAAGGCCGGAACCGGCCAACAATGCTGAAGGACGAATGCCTGACGACGAGGAGGAAGCGGACATAAACATATATGTATGGATATGTATGTATGTATGTATGCATGCATGCATGCATGCATGCATGCATGTATGTCTGCCTGTCTGTCTGTCTGTCTGTCTGTCTGTCTGTCTGTCTGTCTGTCTGTCTGTATGAATGTATGTATGTATGTATGTATGTATGCATGCATGTATGTATGTATGTATGTATATATATACATGTATATATATGTGTATATATATATATATACATCCATATATATACATATATATATATGTGTGTATGCGCATTTTCAACAGACTGTTGAGCTCCCTCGAACCCCCTGCCCCCCCCTCAGAACGACTCAAAACATCCTCCCCCCTAAGATCCTCTTTCCCCCTCTCCTGTCCGCTTTCCTGGGCGAGTAGGAGGATGAGGGGAAGGAGGGAGGGCTAGGGTAAGGTGGTCGCGCCGAGAAGGCGCTGGATGAATTCCTGTGGCCCCCCGCGCTCGACGTAGAGAGTCACAGTGGCGGCGAACGCTCCCACACAGAAGAGCACGTAAGACCCGCCAAGGAAATTCTCGAAATTCTGCCGTGTGCTGGCCACCTTGTTTGGAATCTCGAAAGAGAGAAAGGAGAGGGGGAGCAGGGAAGGACGAAATGGAGAGGGGGAAGAGAACAAAAGAGGAAGGAAGAGGAGAGGTAACAGGAAAATTAAGGACGAGGGGAACAATGTACTACTTCTTCCCGCAAATGTAGGGAGGACGGGGGAGCAGAGGAGGAGGGCGGGAAGCAAGGAAGGTGAAGACAGGGAATTTAGACCGAAGTAGATCCCAGACCCCAAAATGCACCAACAATGCTGCAATACAGCGTCCCGTCACAGGCCCCCTCCCCGGAAGACTCTGCAAACCTTACTGTTCCCCACGGGAAAAGCGCCCCTCTACCCGCTGAAGGACGAACGCCCCGTGGGCCGGCCGCTCGGGCGGAAGACCCTCCTCGAGAGGGAATGCCCCTGCACCCGTCTGACTTGTCATACAGAGCGTGACATGATAGGGCCATCAACTTCCACCAGGTGTCAACGACACAAACCGATGACCGTCCCCCCCACCCGTCGACAATGCTGACGCGGGTCTCAAGCGGGAACACCTTTTTTTCCGAACTCTGGCCGCCTTCCATCCGTACAAGCCTGACATACTTTGTTCAAGCTTCAGGTCGTTACTCCCAATATTTTCCAAACGATAACCAAATATTGACAGAAGCCGCCCTCCATCCGCGCACCCGTGGCGTGTGTTCAAACCTCTGGTCGTTCACTTCGAAAGATTCCCAACCTATCACCTCATTTTGAAAAAAAGAGCCGCCCGCCATCCGCGAACTGCTGCAAGCTTATGAAACGAATGCACGCGGCGCTAAGGCGAACACCTCATTTTCAAAAGGGGCCGCCGTCCGTACCTGTAGCTAGTTCTTGGAGGGAACAAGCAACATCAAACACAAACGGTGGGGGATTCTCCAGCGATTCGGCCCAGCACGCCCTACCACCACACCAGGAAACGCGGCATGGAATACTGACATCAATGGATAAGAGAGGCGGAGGAGGAGGAGGAGGAGGAGGAGGAGGAGGAGGAGGAGCAGGAGGAGGAGGAGGAGGAGGAGGGGGAGCAGGAGGAGGAACAAAAAGGAGGAGGAGGAGGAGGAGGAGGAGGAGGAGGAGGAGGGGAGGAGGAGGAGGAGGAGGAGGAGGGGGAGGGGGAGGAGGGGGACGGGTAGGGATAGGGGTCAAGACTCCCTCTCCGCCCGCAAGCCGTTTCGCTGACTCCCACCAGCCCTCCCAACACATACGTAGCACCCGAACCTGGCCTGAGCCGCAGCATATTCAGCAGTCGTTTTTGGATGGGCAGCTACTGGGGGCCAATCCGCCGCCGCCGCCGCCGCTCCGCCGCCGCCGCCGCCGCCCGCCGCCGCCGCCGCCGCGCCCGCCGCCGCCGCCGCGCCGCCGCCGCCACCGCACCGCCCGCCGCCGCCGCCCGCCGCCGCCGCCCCAGCTGCCAAACCGCCGCCGCCGCAGCCGCCGCAGCCGCAGCCGCCGCTGCCGCCACCGCTGCCGCCGCCGCCGCCGCCACCGCCGCTACCGCGGCCGCCGCCGCCGCCGCCGCCGCCCCCCCGCCGCCGCCGCCGCCGCAGCCGCCGCAGCCGCTGCCCCCCCCCGCAGCCGCCGCAGCCGCCGCCGCCGCCAAGTATATTCTGTATTGTTTTTAGACAGGGATGGTGGGGGGAGGCCGCATCGGGTTCGCTGCGCATGGTCCGAATTTGGAGGCAGAGTGTGTTTTGTGTTGTTTGTGGCAAGGGATGGTGGTGGGGGTGGGGGGTGGCGCATGGTCTCGGGTTGGCTCCCGGCCGCCTTGGGGGAGGGGGTGTATATGAATAGGGAGCAGTGATCAAGTTCGCCAGCTCGACCGAGCCAGAGGGCTCCGTCCATTCCCACCCGCCTTCCCACAACATTAGAAACAAGTGCGTCGCGTCCGGCGTCTGTCGCTCATCTTATATCGTGGGCGGCTAGACGTTCAGCGCGCGACATGAGCTGCGTCCTACTCCTGCCGCGTATTGAGCAACGTCGACGAGAAACAAAACCGCGCGCGATGTACGCAGCGCCCCGCTCGGGCCTCTCATGTTGCATCGTCGGCGACATCATGTCCAGCGCGCGAAATGCGCCGCGGCTCATTCCAGCCACGCGCGTTGCGCCGCCAATTGTTTCGCTCCTGCCGCGCATGGAGGAGGGGGAGGGGGAGGAGGAGGAGGAGTAGGGGGACGAGGGGAGGGATAGAGGGAGGGAGGGAGAAACTGAGGAGGAAGAGGGGAATGCCTCTTGGGAATTCGCGGGTCCTAGGAGCTTTCTGGTATACGCCTGAGGGCCTCTTGGATAACTCGTTCGGGTTGGAACATTGTCAACACAAGTAGGTGCTAACCTCACAACCCTTCAAGCACCAAGTGAACATCAAGCTTTGTGTTGCCCCCAATGACCTTCTGGACGCCTTTTTTCGACCTCGTGGGGGTCTCCTGAGGCACTTGCTCGAACCGCACTTGCTTGTGGCATTCTGACTTGCCGCCCGCCCAACTCCTCAACCCGACGGGCCGCAGCGTCGACGACAAGAAAATCCATGTTGAAGAAAGCGTCCCCGCGCGATGTGCGCCGCGTCCCATTCCCGCTACGCGATTCGCAGCGCCGACGAGGAGAACGTACATGTTGGCAAGACAACGTCAACGTTGTGGTGTTTTTTGTCAGGTAGGACGGGGGGTCCCGCGTAGGGTTGGCCATGCGAATGCGCGCGATGTGCGCCGCGTCCCATTCCTGCGACACTTTTCGCAGCGTCGACAGCAAGAACGTCCATGTTGACAAAGAAAACGTTGACAGTGTATTGTTTTCGGATACGTAGGACGCGACTACCCGTAGGGTTACCCAAACGATGTTCATTCCGTCCCATTCCTGCTTCACGTTTCGCAGCTCGACGACATTTTGGCGAGCAACAACTGAGTTTATGCTGTTGTTTACCATTCAGACGGCGGGGTTGCTATCGGCCGGCTAGGTGGGGATGTGAAGGTGTTTAATCATAGGAAGTAAGGATATGGGGAGGAGGAGGAGGAGGAGGAGGAGGAGGAGGAGGAGGAGGAGGAGGAGGAGGAGGACAAGGAGGAGGAGGACGAGCGCACGTAGCTCGGCAGCTCGGTGATCAGTTCAGCCGCTGGCGTCGATGGCCAGCTTGGCGGCTTGCAAAAGCCTCAGATCGGTTTCCAGGCCAGCTGCGCGTGTCTGCGAGATTTCGTAGTCAGCCTTTCGTTGATGGTAGAAAATGAAAACTACCAGAGGGTAAATCCTGCTTCAGAATCTTCCTCCTCGCCGAGACCAAGCCGAGTTAGGGGACAGGCAGGGAAAAAGGAGCGGGGGAGGGCAAAGGGTGAAGGAGACGGGGGCAGGATATGCAATGAGGCCGCCTGTCGAATCCAAACCTCGCAGCCCAACAGACACTGACGCTGGCCCAAAACGGGCCTTCCCCCAGCGGTCACCCATCCCCTGCAAGGCAAGGCAAGGCAAGGCAAGGCCCGGTCGAATCGAATCGGTCCGCAAGCGGACGTGGGCAGAGAATTATGAACTCCTGTGTGCAATTTCCTGCGGTCTCGAGCAGCGACGTACCATTGCTCACCAAACTTTGCGAGCGAGTACCTTCGTAAGTGATCGTCCCAGCGACATGCTGGACGGCCTCGTCCACGGCCTGCCTCGGGATAGGTGGCGGGCGGGCTCGAATTTGATACTCGATACACCCACCCCCTGCTCAGAGTTTTGAAACGTGTCCACGCCAGGGAGGATTGGGAGCGCGCCAGAAAGAGGGCGCAGGGCAGCCCATCGATGGGCCACCACCGCATGGGACAAGGGGGAGGGACCTCTGGCGGCCAAGCCCCAACTCTTCGACCGGAGAGAGCTGGGAGGGAGCCAGGGAAGAGAGCAGAGGGTACACGTCGTTCATTTCTACTCGTGCTCATTTCTAATTCTGCTGGTTCCAATTGCTTCTGGCCCCCCAGTGGCCAGGAAGAGGCCCCGGATAGAAGAATTAGAAATGAAAGGATCTTGGCCCCCCAATAAATCAGAGAACTTCCGAGGGATCAGAAGTGAGCAGTGTGTGGGGTCCTGGCGTAGACACGCTGGGGCCGCGGGCGTCGGCAGGCGGCGGCTGCCTCTTGGAGCACCTCGGGGTGAGGCTCCGGCCGCCCTCCGGAGCACCTCGCTGCTCCACTTGGGGCCAGGGGGGGGGCTCGAACACGCTGCGACGTGGGCATTGGAGAAGGAACCCTTAGAGAAGGAATCCAGGGGCTGGAAGCCAGTGGAACTCCAATCGTGGTTCGGCCATGGATATCACCGCCGCCCTCATTGGATAAGGAATCCTCCAGGGTCTGGCGCCTCCTGGGACTATTCCTTAACAAACGCCTCCACCGTGGCTAAAAATTGCCCAATGGCCCGGGGCTGCTGCCAACACCGGGGGGCGCCACAGCTGTCTGGAATAGCAAGCGAAAGGCCAACACAACATCGCAGGCTCGTCATGCTCTCGGACCCGCAGTCTTGCACCGTCGAACGAGAGCCAGGCGGAACGCCAGACAGTCGACTGAGCCATGACCTGCGCAGACTGGGGGCTACGACCAAGGATCCGTCCCTGTGCGCTGGGCAGCCCCGCTTTCTCAAACGTGTCAGGGGGGGCCTCGGCAACTTGTGGAGGACCCAGAACCCTGGAGACGAGAGTGGAAGGGAGGGGGAAGAACTGGGCGACGTAAAAAAAAAAACGGGGAAGATGCAAGAGCGATCGCTCCTGCTGGAGCCCGCAGCAGGGGCCCCCGTGGCAGCTGCAGTCCTAGCCCTCAGGGAAAGCTTTGCCGTCGGGGAGCCTCCCACTGCTGGGCCAAAAAAGGCCCCAGGGCCGAACCACATCCCAAAACATATGGCCACATCACGAAGGGGGAAGTGGATAACACTTCTAATTGTTCCTGGCCCCCTAGTGGCCAGGAAGAGGCCCAGGATAGAACAGTTAGAAATGAAAAGGTCTTGGCCCCCCAAGAGATCAAATAACT